GGCCGCCCCGCGGGCGCCCGAGGCGCGATGGTGAAGCGCAGACGCGCCCCGGAACGGGGAGACGAGGGGCTGCCCCTGGCACCGGAGGATGGGCTCCCACTCGCCGCCTGGCCGTCGTGTCGCTGCAGAGAAGCGGGGGCGGAGGCGCGGGGCACCGGCCTTCACGTCCGGGGACTTGGGCGCCATCGCTGATGGGGACGTACGGACACCTGCAGCCCAGGGCGCGCTCCCGGATGCACGCGCGCGGAAAGCCCGGGAAGCCAAGGAGGGAGCCAGCGAGTGTTGACGTGTGACCTTCGAAGTCTTTGGCGGCCCCTGCGCAAGTCCCCAGCTCCCTCCACTCCCTCCAGAAGGAGCTTCATGCTGTGACAGCTGCGGGAAGGACGTCTTAGTTGAATCTGTACCAGCACGCTTTGGGAGGCCGAGGCCGGAGGATCACTTGAAGCCAGGAATTCGAGGCCAGCCTGGGCAGCATAGCGAGATGCCATCTCACAAAAAACCTAAACAATTAGATGGGTGTGGGGGACGGGGCGCCTGTAGTCCCAGCTACTCGAGAGGCTGAGGTAGGACGATCACTTGAGTTTGAAGCTGCAGTGAGCTGTGATTATGCCGCTGCACTTAGCCTGGAGGCAGACCTATTTTCTCTAAAAAACACATCGCTTAAAATATAGATATACATGCGTATTGACAAGCACTACTGCTTTGGCAGTATTAATTAAAATTCCTTTGATCTGAGGCAACCTGGTTGGTTTCTTCCCCATTTCCCAAGGCCGAGGGAAAGGGAGGCTTGGGGCACTGGTTTCCAGATGGGACAGGCCGCTTGGGGCACTGGTGAGGCTGGTGGGCAGAGGGGGAGGAAGTCGGGCCTTCCTTTTCCCTGCTCTCTGGAATCTCTGGCTCCTGACTTCAGAAACTCAGGGGAGCACAGGTTGGGAATAAACTATTTTTTCCAAAAGGCAGAGAACTTGCACACAGTTCTATCTGCTGTGACTTTCATGACAGACAAGTAGGGATGATGAGGGTGAGGTGACAGATACATGCCCTAAAGCAAATCACTATGACCTCTCCACAGACCTTAAAGCACTGGATAGATGCCATTGGGACAAAATTCAACTTGTGTTTATTATTTGGGTGTTGATGCTTTCTGAAAAAAACAGACTAGAGCAAAGCCCTAGCAGCCTGAGATTGAGATGAGCCCTTGTTAGAATCCTTTAAAAGTCTGAGATATTTACTCTTTGTCCCCTGACAGGAGGACCAAGAAATCCGTGCCCTAAGGCAGTGACTCCTTAGGAGGGAGCTGACAACTGGCGAGAGAATGAGGAGACCTGGGTTTTGTGCCAACGCTTGCTCTAATTAGCAGGTTGCTTTGCACACTTCTTTTAATTTGCCAGAGTTTCGATTTCTTCATGGGGAGAAAAGCTGACCTGCAGCATCTATTTAATTCTTCCAGTAACAAAACTGACAGCATTTACTGAGTACCAAGTAAGTGCCAGATACCAGGTTGGCCACTTTGCCAGCATTACCTGATAGAATCCACGTAGCAATTCCACAAAAAGATCTTCTTGTTCCCATTTTACAGCTGAGAAAACCAAGCGTGCAAGATCTCAGCAAGCAAGTAGTAAAGTGAGGGTTTGAACCCAGGGCGGTGAGGCCCAGGTTCCCATCTTGAGCTCAGGTCCTTAGTGGTAACCCCAGATTCTTAGGAGATGACAAAGGAATTTTCTGAAAGGGGTTTCCTGCATAACTTGAGAATGTATCCTGAGACCTGTAAGCTAGAAGACTCTGGCTCCCCACATTCCCATTCTGCTCCCCTTTTCTGACTTCCTCGTAGAAGCCTTCAGTGTAGAATTTCTTCAAGATAGGCTCACATGATGTAAAAGTCTTTTCTGAGGTGTTCAATCTCAAAGGTCACGAAAGAAATGCAAATTAAAACCACAATGGCCGGGCTCGGTGGCTCAGCCTGTAATCCCGTGCCTTTGGGAGGCTGAGATGAGTGGATTGCCTGAGCCCGCGGGTTCGAGACCCGCCTGGGCAACTTGGCGAGACCTCATCTCTACAATAAAATCAAAAAATTGG